GAATTAGTCATTACCACCCACCGCCAACTTTTGGGTTATTCTTTCACCAACGAATAGTGGCATTGACCGTCACGTTATAACGCCCCCACGACTGAGAGGGCGAGCATGTTTGGTGGGGCGGGGTTCGAACTCGCAATCCTCAGATTGTAAGTCAAGCGCCTTAACAGCCTGGCCATGCCGGGCCCATCAGGGTAAAAGACAAATTAAACTGAAAAAAAATTGGTTGTCTGTATATTTTTTGGCATTTATTCTTAAAATGTGGCATATTTCTGAACTTTTTAAAGGTAATGAGGTAATGTTTGTGTACCTGATGATAATTTTTGATCATTCCATTTGAGCTAATGTTTGTGTATCTGATGATAATTTTTGATCATTTCATCTGAGCTAATGTTTGTGTACCTGATGAAGGGCGATCTGTACAAAACACTGTGACAATAAATATGTTTTAAGCAGTAAAGACATTCCGCTGTATAACTTTAAAAAGAGTAGGATATTCTATCCAGTTCTCTGTCATACAAATGAAATGCTTACAAAAACCAGTCCAACGTTTCAAACAAGTTCAAGATGAAAAATCGGCGACAATCTATATTGCTTAAATATAATCCTGTGATAAATATTTATAAAGCAAATACTTCAATTGTTAAACATTGTTTTAAATGTAACATGAAAAAGCAGAAATACACTAAAAACGTTTAAATCGAGTTCATGTCTTCAAAAATGTGAAATACAAACGTTGCTATACATTTACATCGAGCTGCCACCAAAATACTGTAAAACACACCATGATTAATTACTCAGGAGAGGACCAAATCTATATATATAAACGAAATGTGTGTTTGTTTGCACCCTAATTCCTCCGAGCCTATTGGGCCAATCTCAACCAAACTTTGTATGTAAAAACCATGAACTATGGGGAATGTCCTAAGGAGTCAAAATTGAACTTAACCCTATTTTTATTTGTAAAGCCTGTTGATATACTACTCCCAGCATATTGAGTCAATCTCAAATAATCTTGGTAGGTTGACACTCTAGACAATGTTGAATATTCTAAAGAGATTCACGGTCAAAGTATGAAAGTTGCTGGATTGTATCTCAAACAACTATGCTTTTCTCATGGTCAGTGAAATGTATGGTGTTCAAGGGTGGGATCACCTCAAAATCTTTATTTGTTGGTAGGTGGAAGGCAAACTGCAAAGTTGGTTATAAAGAAGATTTGTTATAATTTTTAAATTTTGAGATAAAGTTTATGTTCCAGTTATTAGTTTGAAATATATGATTACTGTTTGTTTGCAATTATGCACAAAGCTACACAATGGGATGTCTGTGCTCTCCCCATCACGGGTATCGAAACCCGGTTTCTAGCGTTGTAAGTCCGTAGACATACCGCTGTGCCACTTGGGGCTATGATTACTCTTAAACTTACATTGTTGTAATTAAGTTTAAACATTCCTCGTCAGTTGACGGGTATTTCAGCTTGTACATATATACATTACACTGTTGCAATGAATATTTTGAAAAAATACAGATAAACAGAACATAAAAATAGTTTCTGATAATGTACAGTTGTCTTAGCTAACTACAGAAATAGTATCATGCTTCTACTTTTTATTCAGCATCAAGAGGGATAATGTAAGAGACAGGTCAGTAGTTCCAATAAATTAATTAATTAATTGAATAATTGATATGCACATTAATGAAACATGCGAGATGAAATTAAATAATATTTAATTAACCTTTGTTAATCAAGATTAAGTAATGTGCAGGTAATATTATCCAAACCCTCGATGTCAGCAGATGATTTCGAAAAAATAAGGTTGTTTTTGCTGCTAAACGTTATCATAATATTATACAAGCTCGGTTTGCATGTGGCTCTATCTACGGGTATCAGTCGAAGATGTTATATTTTTATCAATATGTCAGTTATTGCGATTTAATTTCTTAACAAATATATAAGAGTATTATTTTTATAATCACTAATTGTTGATTAATATTCAAGCAATCGGACTGTGTTTTGGTTCTATGCTATGGAAAATATACGTTTGCTTTTTATAAATGTGACAGTTACTACATGCCCCCCAGTGACACAGCGGTATGTGTCCTCCATCCAAAACCCTGGAAGTCCTGACCTTGAAAATAAGCTCCTCATTCCTGAAGAGATATGTCTGTGAACAGATGGATCTCGGGACAAGGTGGTGGAGTGGGTACCCCAATAGTAGTGTTGTTCCAATCCAACCACTATTCACATTCGATAATGTTACTCCTGAGTAATTGAACAGGATGATCCAAAGGATTGGATTGCATGATCCAGTGGTCACATAGTGACCACTGAAGGGACCTCATATGTGCTCGTCCCAAAGGAAGGAGAGGCTCATTCCCAAAAGAGAAAGAACTGTCCTCGCAGTAGGAGAAGGAGACATAAGTAAAACCTGACAGCTTGAAGACTGATAGGAGTTGTTTTTGTGCTACTTAAGTGAGTATTGAAAAACACACCCAGATGGATGAGATATTGCATCAGTGACAGAATACATTTCTCCAGTCTGATAAGGAAGCCCGTTTTTGTGGCTTCTGAGAGTGTTGTTCTGTTAATTGATGGGATGGTGCCAGTGGTATGTATTTTTTTGTTAAAGTAATTTATAAATATAAACGAAGATATAACCGTAGTAGCACCAACCATGTTCAAAGTCACAATATAAATTGTGAATAATTACAACACTCCTATTCATAGGAATCCATGCTGAATGCTTTGTTGAGAAAAGTGATTATGTTATTTGAATCAAATGCTTGTATACAGTACCTAGATAGAGGGCGCATTGAAATTGGTGGAGAATTTTGCAAATTAGAATTTGCAGAGGGCAGTCGAGTGGGGTATAAAAGACTGGAGCAAGTGTTTTCAATGTTTAGATGGGCAAAGAGTGGAAACCCTGGAGATCGAGAAATAGCTATAGTGTCAGCAAAGGTAAGCGTGATTTGGAAAGATTTTAAAATTCCTGAAATGTTAAGAGCTATTATAAAGCTTCTTCATTCAAATGTTACAGCTATAAAGATCTACTATGTAATATTATGTATTTGATTGTTTTTTTTTTAAATCATGAATTAGTATTAAAAAGTCTAGTAGTCAAAGTAGTACATACATGAAACTCATCAGAAAAGCCTGAAGTAACTCTGGTGTTTTTGTTAAAGATGTAGTCTGATAATTTCTGTACCCGAACTGAGGTAGGGCTGTGGAGAAACTTTCTTCTGTTCTGTTTTGCAAATGACCCTTTTTCTGAAAAATACATTAAAATGTGTTAGATTTTAAATTATAGCTTTTTGTCAATAAAAGAAACATCTTTGTCAATTATATGTATATTATATGTAACAGCTGGATACACTTATGCATACTTACTATGTATAATGAGTATATCTAAATATAACTAATAGATATATATATACACACACATCAACACTTTCATAATAATTTATACTAACAGTTATTCATTTCATAAAAACTCAGGTTACAAGTTAAGTTCGGCACTTGAAGTTATAAAATTAATGTTCTTACAAATTTGATCTCTAGATTTATGTATTGACTAATGTGTAAGATTTTTCCCACGTTACTTTAATATTTTAAACTGACTAAAGGCTGAAAACATCATGATAAAACTGTCCATTGAGAATATCTATAATGTGGACTCAAGATACTTTAAACTTCTAGCTTCATGTACTTACAATAAATTGTAACTCTTGTGTCTGTTTGTTTGTTTGTTTTTTAATTATGCACAAAGCTACACAAGGGCTATCTGTGCTCTGCCCACCACGGGTATCAAAACCCGGTTTCTAGCATTGTAAGTCCGCAGGAATTGCAGTTGAGAATTCCAATGAGTCACAAAGGCATTGATTGTTGGAGACCTGAACTGAGAGCAAATCCACTGAGAAAACTCGTGATGTAGCATCTATTCCATCGGAATGATCCAGTTGGGTCAAGACAAGTGATCTCCAATTAATTTCCTCACTCTTGGAACATGACATGCTTAAAGACTGATATGATGAGAATGAACGCAGTAGAGAAGATACAAGGTACAAAAACAAAGGTATCAAGAATGTGTGCCTCCTTGACAAGAAATCTGAGATAGTACTGTGGAATTGTCGGAATGTATCATGACAATTTTTCCCTTCAAGAGAGATAGACTTTGAACCATTGCCCGGTGTACTGCAAAGGAGGGTAGACTCACTACCTCAAAATGAGTTAGTACGCGTCACATAACAGATGAGGGCCCCAACACAACATAATACATGATCAGGATTGGAGCAGTTATAAAGGTGAGAAATGGCTGGCAAATGGATTGGTGAGAAGGATCTTTCCCCTAACCCAGCTGCCAAAGTCTTGGGAAGAAAAGACCTATTGGAGTAAAGCAGGAGAAATGTGGAATGATGAAGAGTCTGATGCACATGGATTGCAAACAACTCCAACTGAGGATGTCCACAAGCCAACAACAACAAAAAATACAATTTAAGAGAAAGGTGAAACAAAGAACATGAAGCTAAAGGCTAAAAGGGGGGATGAGACAATGTATGTAAAACAACTGTAAAATCTCGTTTCGGTAATTGAAAAGCTCGTTTGGGTCAACAAATACAAAAGGATTTGAGTAGACCTGATAGTACTGAGAATTCAAAAACCTTTTGATATTTGGAATACCAAAAAATAGTGGATAAGGTTGCCTTATATAAATCCACCATAGATGAAGCAAGACCCCTCTCAAATATCCAAGTCCAAAAACGGGATATGGTAAATACTTTAGGATGAAGAGGATTTAAATTCCTTTTAATACATCACTGACGATATTAATTCCATTTCCATTGATAAAAGGCTGTGGTTGGCCTACGGAGAGATTTAGTTAAATACAGAGAAACCTTAGAAGTTAATCCCTTATGTCAGGCAAAGGACCACATAACTTCCAAGCATGAAGATTGAGTTTCCAAACATCTGATCGAGGTTGTCTCAACAGAGAATGTCAATGTGGAAGAAGTAGAGGTGGACGTTCCTGCAGATACCAAAGATGTGGAAACCACGTTTTAGTTGGCCAATATGGTGCAACCAAGAGAACTCAACAGGGAGTGGAACAAACCATAGTCAGAAGCCGAATCAGGAGAAAGGCATACAGATGTAAACCAGTCCAGTCCTGACTGAACACATCTACTGCCAATGCTTGAGGATGAGGTATCGGAGAACAAAAAAGAATTAATTGTTCATTCATTGTAATTCTTCTATTTCCCTTGATTTATCTCTCATTACCCTAATGAGGTGGCTTTGTAAATTGATTCACATGGCCTATAATGAATTATCATTACAGGAGAGGAATCTTTTACATGTCACATCTCACCAGATTCGTCATATCTCTATTTCATTAGCTGCCCAGTTGAATTGCTCTCTGGAAGATATTGTGCGGGCTGGTACGTGGACTACTCCTAATGCTTACATGATCTGGCAGTTTCCTCTTCTGAGAGTTTTTGACTACCTCCTGTAGTATTTTTTACAACATCTGTTAGATTTTTCCTCAATTATACTTTCTCTTTTCAATTGCACACTAGTAACCACTTTCATTATAATTATTACAGGTTGCAACAGGCTCTGTCAAAATGGGGTGTTCCATAAGACCATCTAGGCATCTACCAGATGGTATTACCTTATTATTATGGACTACCTTTTGTAATTTAATCAGCCAAGAAACTTATCTGCTATTTTTCTTTTCTTTTGTTAAATATATTAATCTTTTTTCCATTCAAATATGCCCTAAATCCACTTGAGGTTATGTATTAAATTCAGTCTGAGGTGTTATTTTTGTAGCTTAATCAGCCAAGGAACTTATCTGTTATTTTTCTTTTCTTTTGTTAAATTTTTAATCTTTTTTTCCATTCAAATACAATTGAAGTCCGTATATATTTTGTATTTTAACTTCGAAATCCTGCAGTAACCATTCTGTTAGCACACTCGATTAGTTTCTTTTTGTTCCTTCAGTAATAAAGCATTTCATTATCATTTCAACTTCACATTAACTTTTGTCTCTTTCATCTCATCTTTAACAAATTGCTACACTTGTCTTTCCAAGCACTTGATCACAAATCTCCAGTTTGTGTGGAACTTGAGTGACTTTGTGCTAGATTTATCTTTAAATTACCACATATTTTTAATAAGATTGATCAACACACATAAAACCACAACCAGCCAGTTAGCTACTTTATCCTTTACTAGACAAATATACAGAAACATTCTGGACAGATGTAACTAGATCTGGTTATGTTATTATAACTAATTGTTATTTCTACATCAATAAACAGGTTTAGTTTTGGTTATTTAATATTTGAATGTTTATTTGTAAATATAAAGATGCCAGTTTTTAACAGGGTAAAATCAGTTATTTTTGAAAAATGAATAATTAATATTAGATAAATGTTACATATATAAAAACACAAGTATTGAACTAATTCATATGTTTACATGTCCTTAAACATCAATTTGGTCAGCAAACAACTATTTATTATTTGCCTACTAAAGTTATGTAAAACATAGCATTACAATGAATTTAAGTTTGTAACTGTTAGATAAGAACTGAACTGTGTTCTTTAATTATCTATATAACGCTAGACATGGTCAGATATAATAATTAACAATGTTTCTATCTTCACGGAGATGTTATTATTTGGTTGGTGCATTTAAACATTCCAATTCTCAAGTGATGCATGGAGAATCACAAATCAAATCATCCTTAAATAATGCTAACGAATCAGCTAGTTTTGTAAACTAAAGTTATTAAGACAAACACTTCTAAATGTAAACTACATTCTTATTCAAGTAATGTGTAGTTTCACTTTCAACATGCAAAACTAGTTTCAAGAATTATTATAAATTATACGCAGATTTAGAACAAATACGTTTTCTGTTATACTATATTGTTTTTACTTTTTTAATTCACTGATTTCATTTATATTTTATTCCGTGAACAAGGTAAAGTATACAATAATTAAATATATGTGCCTACACTGCTCACTTGAATATTCTAATTACTAAGTCTGAGACTTATAAGTACGAGATAAAGAGTTATACAGTTTATGGAAGCTTTATATAGTTTGTATAGAACAAATTGTGTACATAAAGTTTGTGGACTATAATTTTAATCTTAAAGTTGTTTTGAAGAATCCTATGGCATATTATACACCCAATTTCTAGATTAAATTTGTTGAACATAAGTCATACAGCACATAATGCAGTAAGAACTTTTAAGAAGTTCTTAAACACATTTAATTACATGGTATTATAGAAGATTCTAGTGAATCTAATATATATATATATATATATATATGAACTTACATCAATGTAACTTGCATTAATGTAGTCAGATGACGACACCCCTGGCAAACGTTCAAGTATAACTCGACTATGATCATCTGTAAATATTAAAATATGGTGTTATAAAATAAAATAAACAAAGAAAGCATACTTATTTTGTTTGTTTGTTGTTATGCAAAAAGCAACACAATAGGCTATCTATGCTGTGCCCACCATCCACATCAAAACCTTGTTTTAAGTGTTCTAAGCCTTCAGACTTATTGTTGAGCCATTAGGGACAAAGACACATATAATGGTAATACACGTCAATTGCTAACTTCTCTAGTAAAAGCATGTTTGCTGTGTTTTAAGAGAAAAAAAATTAAATAAAATTCAAACAAATTTACTTACACGGAAGAAGGTTGCCATACCGATTCTTTTTTATATTTTCAGCCTTTTTTGCTTCAGTCCATTGTGATGTTTGTCCATCTAAAAGTGACTAAAAGAAAAACCAAATGTTAACATTTTCCTAAACTGAAAATGTATTTCCAATAATACTTACCTCCTCTCACACTTACAGCTATTACTTGACCGCCAGGGTTTCCTCTTTACCCATCTAAGCATTGAAAACGCTTGTTTCAGTCTTTTATACCCCACTTGAATGCCCTTGGTAAATTGTAATTTGCAAATTTCTCCACCAACTTCTATGCGCCCTCTATCTAGGTACTGTATATAAGCAACCCATTCAGATAATGTAATCACTTTTTTGAGACATAAACTGGCTTTTAGTGGGGAGGTAGGGCAGGAGTGTACCAAGATAAAAATGGGGGAATCACACTACATCCAGAACAGGTATGTTATTCACCAGGAACTCAGTTCCTATATCAAAGGTGGAATAGAATATGAGTAATCATCAGTATAGTCCAGTCCCAACCAGATAGCTCAGGTTCCACAACTCGGGGTTAGAATTAAGGGGTCATGGTACCTATATCCCATGTTGGTGGCTAGGACTATTGGACTGCAATGTTATATATACTTTTGATTGGATCACAACCTGTAGCCATAGAGTGAAGAAAGTAAGTAACACCGAAGTGGATAAACTTTCTCCTCCAAATGATGAAGCCTAAATTCAACATCCCAGGCTGAGAATGATGGGATCGTGTACGCCTTACTCAAGTTGAGGAAACAGAACTAATCCAGTCTAGAATTATGAACATTCACTCCCCAACCAAGTGGACAAGGAGTATTCCGCTTACCACTGGAATTATGGATAGGACGTGGAACCTGTGGTCAACCAAGGACCTAGGATGGGACCACTTCAAAGAGAAGGGCCATGCACACCCCCTCAAACCAGATAGCTTCATGTCAAATCTGAACCAGAATTATGAGTAGGCTCCCATAGATGTTGGTGCCACTACTACTGACATCTGGGGTAAACATCAAGGGACCAGAGAAGGAGGGTCCCCAACTTCGCCCTCTTCTGCAAGAGTGGAGGAACACCCTCGAACACTTTGGAGGAAAAGCTTCTGTCCACCACCATAGCGACTGGAAATTGGGGGTGGTAAGGACTCCCAAGCTTCACTAGTAGAGTCTGGGGGGAGGGGGGTAATATGCATTGTGGAGCCCTGAGGAACAGTGCTCTGTGGAAACTGTGCAATAGGTGAACCAAGTTCCCTACATTTTTAAAAGCAAACCGACTCCGATTTATTCAACCTGAAGATCGGCAGGGATGGGCAGGATCCCCATTAGCTTTACTCATGATAGTTCATGAGTTTAACAACTCAGACTGAATTTAATACAAAACCTCAAGTAGATTTAGGGTGTTCCAAATTAGAACTTAGACAATTGTTTTTCAAAATGTAGATATGAAATATATCTATTACAATAATACTTAGTTTTTGTCTGTCCTTAAAATGCATGCACACTTCATTTCAATGAATACAAACGAAAGATGGATGTAAATATACTTTAGTAGACATTTTGTACAACAACCTATTAAAAACTTATTAAAGCTTTTAAAAAGGTCTAACATTAGGTTGTAGAATGAAATTATACGTTTATTTATTTGATAGTATTAAATATGGTAAAGTTTATAAAGTTTAACC